ATTTAGGTATTTTATTATCTTTTAAATATAGTTAAAGTTTAAAATCTTTTACTCTTTATAAATTAAAATAATAAAAAAGTATATAAAAAATATAAAAACTACCTAAACTTTAAATTACAAGACTAACTAATAGTATTATCCTAGATATAAATAATAGATAATAACTTAACAGGACTTAATTATTTAATAGGCACTACAGATAAATATTTAGGGCCTCTTGAGTCTCTGTATTAGCTAAACGAAAGGAATGTCTAGCGCCGATGATGTGAACCGCTTGCGGACGGTTTGAGTGTCGGCTGTAGAACATAATGGCTAAAATAAAGAATCAACTAGATCGGAAGTAGACGCCCCGACGCCTCAAGCTAGATGGAGACGAACTGCGCCTTCATCACAGAAGTTGATTTATTCTCTGCCACCGAGCAAGAAGGAGGCTTTCCAAGTTACCCTCAGGTTCAGCCACTAGGAACAGTACACATTCAATTTATCGTTGATACCGGTCCACTATTTACACTTATTCTGGCCTCCAATAGAATATACTTTTTGTGTTAATCTGTTTCCGGACACTCAGGTATGCAGCATTCAGTAGTGATAATCAGTGCATCCAATAAACAACTCTACACTATCCAAGCCGCATTCTTGAGTATGCACTACCTGTATGAAAAATCCTACATCAGGCCACTTTCGCCCTCCTCTAACCTTGTATTGAAGATCCATATATATTATACCATAACCCCCGTTATCTGCCAAAGTAATAAACCTTTACAGAGAAAGCATAAATTACCTAAACTACATTCTTTCACTTTCTCAATTACGCCTCCGCCTGAGATCACCATCAATATCATTCCCGCTGCAGAACAGACAGTCAAACATGCATCTGTTTCAATGTTTCTTGTTGTATCTGAGCTTTGCTTATGCTACACCCGCTCCACTCGACCTATCATCTGTCTTTGAAGATAACTCGATCCCGATTGTGGAATTCTCGAGATTCAAACTTGGTAACCATCGCCAAGCAAAGCGTAGCAAGGAGGAGAAAGTACGATGCTTCGAGGCCAAAATAGTTGTGGATGGACGCCATCTAGGAAACCAGCACAATTTCGAATTCCCTGGCGAGTTATATGTATGTCAAAATCTTCCAACACCCGTTACAACCAACGGCCGCAACGGCTGGGACATTGCCATCGCAGTTGGTGATGCAAGGACCTGGGCGATCCCTGGGATGTTCGATTACGTCTCCAACGGTTGGCTTAATCCATACCTCCTCAATCGTCACGACAGAAATCCGGTGCTAAAGGACTACGCATTTGTTACCAGTGGAGAGGGAAAAGGAATAGAAATCAAGCCAGATCCGCACTATGCTGCAGCCAATAAGCTTTCGACTTTTCGCATCAATACAACACATGATGCGGTGTATGAACCTACTGGTGGAGAAATACTTCTTACTTGGAAGGGAACGAAGATCGAGGGGAACATACATCTTACCTCATCCTCTCATGTCGCTTACAAGGCCAAGATTAGCGGAGACATTACGAAGCAGGGGACTATAACTGTTACGTGGTAATAGTTGAGACTGAAAAATGGCCTGCTACTGCCACCTATAGTAGGTTCAAGGACCATGGTGGCATAAAGCAGTAAGAGACAGGTTATGACACGGTCGATCATCTTGTTCATGAACAGGGATAGAGCACACGAGTCGGGTGTAAGGAATAGGATAGAATATTTCTGTTAATAACATGACCTGATCGATTCAGCTTCAAACTACAAGTCGAGGAAGAAAGCGAGACGTAGCAGCCAAAATGGCAATTCTACAGTTCAAAAGTACCAAGACTCCTATATAAAACTTTTCTCAGGCTGTCTCACATACCTTCTGGCCCGAAATGCCGCGGTTGGCCTTGGGCTGTTCTCATAGAGGAAATTTGTTCTACAGACATCAGGACATTAAGAACCAAAGGATTTAGATAAATGTTAGTAGACGGAGAAGAACGTGGATAATAACATTATAAATTGAAAGCTTTATACCGTTGAATATGCGAGTTCTGATATTAATATCTCTGTGGGACTTGCTATAAGAGCATCCAAAGGCCGAGAACATCACAATGGTGTTTTCAGCCCAACAATGAACTTGGCATCACAAAACTAACTGGTGATATTATCTTGGATATAAACAATGGACGACGACTCATGCGCTAAGTGTGAGGAGAAGCCCGGCAATGTCCGCTGTTCCTGTGGTGAACGATTTTGTCAATACTGCTTTCGTAATACACCTCCCGCGCAACCCGACCCACAAAGAAATAGAAGCGAAGACGACTCCCAACACCGTGGAGGGCCTAGTCGCAGCTGCATAAACGAACAACGCTGTCAAAGCAGTTGAGCTACTTGATGAAAACCTCGACATTGATGGGAAACACGGTGGCTGGACTGCCCCTGGTTACACGGCCTACTACGGGCATTTGGACACCGTCCGCGTCCTTCTCCTTCGCGGCGCTGATATGGATATTCGAATGGATGTTGGATTCGGCGTTCTTCCCGGTGATTGCAGTGCTATTAACTGGGCAGTATGTGGCGGCTACCTCGACGTCGTCAAGATACTTTTGGACAAAGGAGCCAAGTCGAATATCTGCGCGAAGAGACCAGTGTTCCTTGGCACTGGTGGAATGCCTGCTACTATGGCGACAGGGAATGGCCACCTTGATGTCGTTCGGTATCTCCTTGAGAATGGCTGTGATGACGATTCCACAAATGGTATTCCGGGTTGGGATGCCTTCATCATTGCATGCGAAAAAGGAAGACTCAGCATCGTCAAATACTTTGTCGAGGAAAGGGACATCAGTGTTGAAAGAAATGGCAGCAATGGCGTCACGCCTCTGATTACTGCAGCTCAGAGTCAGCAGACCGTTGTCATGAAGTACTTGGTCAATCACGGGGCGCCCATAGACGCGGGTGACAATGATGGAAGCACGGCGTTGCTTCATGCGGTGGCTAAGAAGAGAGTTGGCGCGGTAGAGTGGCTGGTGAAACATGGTGCGGACTTGAGGAAGCAGAATAATACAAGAATGTCGCCGTTGAAGCTGGCAAAGGAGGAGTTGCTGAAGAACCAAGACGACAAGAATGCGGCGGCTATGGTCAAGTGGCTTGAGATCCCGATAGCCGTTGCATTCCACACAAAGGCTTAGAATACATGAGGAATTAAAACCCGTGCGGGTCATCAACGGGCTTAGCGGTCTGTCGAGTAACTCATATGTACCAAGCCTTTGATAGACCTGTTATATATGGAGATAACATATCAAGGAATCGAGTTCCTAGTCCAATTTCTGTGATGATTCATTGCTACGAGTAAGGTAATTAGCGTATTCTTTATTCCATCGCCGGCGACGTTCTGGTATGCTAACACTCTTATGCATTCTCTAGTCTAACCTGTAAAACAACCAATCAACGGAATAGTCCTCTGAACCATGACTCCAGCAAATAGCAGGTATTTCACAAACAGCTTACGATAAAATGAAACCTGCGTTAGTAGTTCTTGATCAAAGTTAACAGGGTTCTCTTCTCCATGTACACAGAGAGATCATGCCCGGTGAGCACCTTGTTAGGATCACTGTAGGACTTAGTCTGAAGGATGATATTCTGGTTGTCTAGTAAATGGTTAATAAGCCATAGATCCAGAATGACAGGGGATCTTCACTTACGTTGAGGGCATCCAAGAGCCTCGAGGCTGGCACATATTTGCCTGAGATCAAAAACGGTAGCCATCTAGACCAAAATGGTTAGCTCACAAGACTTTGTTGGGAAGGTCTAAAGGCGGCTTCGTCATACCTTTGTAGCTGTTGGAGGTAACTGATGTGATGATAGTATGTAGAAAACAATTGGCGAAAATGATTGAAGCAAGTAGGAACGATGGAGACGTAAACGATTGCGCTATGCTGTGATTTATATATACATCATCGGTAAATTTCCTGTAAAATGCCATTCCTTTGTCCAACCTCATCACTCAAAGACGCCGCTAACAAAGCCATGGCTTGTACATGGAGATAAATTAAGAATAGAACAGCATTACAAAGAACGATGATTTCAACCCTCTACGAAAATATCAACAATGAGCTGGCTGTCTTGTTAATACCCTGTAACTACGTATTCAGTCCACGGACTTCCGAATAATAGTTGCCCGCAGGTCTTTAGAAAAATAGAGAGGTGTTCAGCTGTAGACCCTGAATGGCATAAATATTGTCCTTTGATGAGTTTAATTATGGTATCATAGCTTCAGTCTAAATTTGTATGGCAACACCTAAAGTCCTTTGTCTTTCAGCCCTCGGTCCAAGACAAGAGGGACATCACTTGTTCTGACGTCGCTTATTCTCTCTATCAATCTTCTTGAAGAACTCGCTCTTTTCGCCCCTTGTTCTCTTCAGCCCCTTGTTGGCAGAAGCATTCCTTTCAATGTACGCCATATCCTGCACACCACTGAGCTGATCAAGATAGCCCGCGACGCGCCTCACCGTTTTCTTTCCCTTGCCTTTTGCACGGCTCTTCTCCCCACCCCAGAGATCATCCGCAGCAAAGTCATCATCAACCGCCGTTTCGTTATCTACCAGCGTGCCCTGCAACAACTCACGTTGTTCAGCCGGAGTGGAAAATGCGAGATCAGGTGTTCTTTCGATCCCGTCTAGCTTGGTGATGACCTTGAATGCGTAGCCTTGATCAATGAGGAATGCCTGTCGTTTTGAGGCAAAGTGCATTTCGGACGTGTCCTTGGAGACGAGGGAGTAAAAGAAAGCATTGAAGCCCTCGTCGTTTCGCCGTTTTGCTCGCAAGATGCGACCTAGGCGCTGTGCTTCTTGACGGCGTGACCCGAACTGCGAGGATATCTGGATGAGGCACGTTGCTTCGGGGAGATCAAGTGACGTATCGCCGATCTTGGAGAGGAATAGCGTATTCACTTCAGGATTGTGACGGAAATGATCAAGAACCCTGAGTCGCTCCTCTTGACTTGTTTCCCCGTAAATGAGGTACCTCTTCAACTTGTATGCGTACATCTTCAAGGAGTAGAGCTCGTCTGAGAAGACGATGATCTTGTCCCCGCGCGCTTCATGATAGTTGATAAGATATTGGCAAGCTTGGAATTTTGAGGGATTGATAGCGGCCAGTGTCCGCTTCATGCGAGACGAGACCTGGAGGTATTGATCGTAAAAGACAGTCGGCATAGAACACCAGACCTCAGCGCATTGCACCTTGGCGATGTGCCCCTGCTGCGACAGTTCCATCCAGTTCGCCTCGTATAATTTGGGCCCGATGAGAAAGTTGAGATGGTCGATCTTGTCATCTTCACGAAGCAATGTAGCTGTAAGCCCAAGCTTAGAGTGCGTTTTAATTGAGGAGATAACACGTCGAAACATATTGGCCGGAACGACATGTACCTCATCAAGAAGCATCAATCCCCATTCCCGTCCCGCCAAGAAATCCATCATCTTTTTTGAGTCATGCGCACGCTCGCGACTATTCGTAACCATCGAATACGTCGTGACAATAACACCAGTACTACCAGAGAACTTCTCCTTGCTGTCTGATGTAAAAGTAGTGATGTCCTCAGGGTTAATATTTGACCATTTCAGAAACTCGTTGCGCCATTGAACAGCGGAGACTGAGCTTGTACAGAGAACGATGACGCCTTTTCTGATGGTGCAAGCTGCTGTGATGCCGACGAGGGTTTTGCCTGCGCCGCACGGGAGAACGATGATGCCGCTCTTGGCGCGACCGTTCCCGAACATTTTACTTAGACTCTTTTCTTGGTACGGTCGAATCTGGGTGTTTGGGCGCAGATCGATGTCCAAGTCGGGATTGATGCTGTCACAGCGAAAGTCGTACTCTTCAAGGATGGGGTAGGACAGGTCCAAGCAGCGCTTTTGGACGCTTTCAACGGCGCTGTCGGGGATCTCAAAGGCATGCAATACTTCTTTCTCGTCATCGTTGTCCTCATCATCCAGAACGGCGTCAATATGATCCGATTCTGAAGTGTCTTTGTTCGTGGTTTGCGGGACGTCGGCTTGCTGAGCGCCCGCGGCGTTCTTTGTTCCTGGGATGACCAAGCTACCCAGCGCCGGAGCACGTGTCGTAGTAATCTCATCAGAGCCATTAAATCGAAGGGGCCCGATGATGCTGTCTTTGAGCAAAGTCTGAAGGACATCTGCGTCGCTGCTTTCGACAAAATATTTGTTGCTCTTCAAAACCAGCTTCACTTTTCCATAGCTCTTGGTGCATGATCTGATAAACTCTTTGATGCTCTGCGGAAGCTCTGTTTTAAGAAACTTGTCAAGAGTGCTGATGATGTCTTCACCGTTCAAACCAACAGAAACAGCAGCATAGAGACTATGCGGCGTGATCTTATACTCATGGAGAAAAGCAGGTCTGGATTGAGGTTCCGCAATCGTCACAAGAAAGTCAGTTGCTAAGTCTGCCAGAGGGTGAAAGCGTTCAAGAATGATGTATCCTTTCTCGGGATCAATCCATAATGGGCGGTTGGCGCCATCGGGATTAGGCGCAAGATACGAGAAATCGCGTTGAACGATGTTTCTGAGGTCAATAGTAGATTTCTTCCCTTTCAGCTTGAGCGACATTATGATGTTGCAGAAGAAGAGAAAGGCTATGGGTGGATTGAAAGAGGTGGGATTGAACTTTAGGCAGCTGAGGCAGAGAACAAAGAACATGGCGGGTGAACACGGATGACTAATGATGATCGTCACGTGAAGTGGTAGATCAATTTAACAGTGACAGGATATCAACAAAACAAGACATGACCGTTCTGTATTCTGACGGGCCGTTGTTTTCTACCTTGTTTTCTCGCGGTCCAGTCGATGAGATTGAAAAGCTCGTGCAAAGCAAAGAGGGCGTGTAACCTTGAGACCAGGAAATAGAAGTTCAGCATGAACTCATTAAACGCCCTTCTAAGCTTGAGTTAACTTTATCTGAGCCCCTTTACTACTTGGAATCCAAAGACTAGGTGTTGTTTCATTTTCTGAGCCAAAGTTCCGTGTTAATGGTAAGAGACACTGGCCAAAGCGCTTGAAGAGTTTACGCCAGCTACGTACTTTGGCTACATGTCTTCTAGCTTACCAAGATTAACGAAAAGTTAAAATCCCTAATAAAATATCATAATAAATATAGATAAGACAGGAACGCCAATGGTCAGCATCTTCAATAGTAAAGTATCTGTATTTCGAGGCCGGTTATTACATCTAGTGTCATGGCAGGCAAGGAGCTTACCCGGCACTAAGCCAATTCCCCCAGCATTTACAATCAATGCCACGAAGCTCCATGGCTATAACAGTGCACAGAATGTGGATAACTAATCTGTCAGTGAAAAACATCTTAATTTGCTTTATAAAGAGTTTCCGACTATTGACATCTAATACACAGTGAATTATGCGGTATAACCAAGTCATAGAAAGACTGACAAAAGGCCAGAAGCTTGGTAATCTTTTAATAGCTGAATTCACCACCTAGAAAAGCGCTGGCTGGTGACGTGGATCCTTCGCTGGCAACTAAAACGACATTATTTGGCGAAGTGCATCGCAGGGATACGCGAGCCTGCCTGACAGCAACGGTCGCAACAACTCAAGTCAGCTTGTTTAATTTAAGCCTGACCTCCTAACTTACAAGTCAGGAAAAATCGCTATAACTTAAGGCTATAAAGGTCCTAACTTATAAGTCTATAAGTCTATATAGTAATATTAGTAATATATAAGTACCTTTTATTTTTTTCTATTTTTAGGCTCTTTTTATAATAAAAATAGTATATTTAAAGTAAGATTTTTAGTATTAAAAATCTCGGTTAGTAAAACCTTAGTAAAATCCCTTACTTCCTTACCTTAATTTCCCATAGTATACTAGGTATGCCTAAAAGGCTAGCTTTCTTTAATTATTACTAAATTGCCTTTTTAACCTTATTTTAAACTACATTTTTCCTATAATACTATAGTAATATTAATATTACTATTATTAGTATCTTTTCTAGTATTATTAAAAATATTAGTAACTGTATTTTCTCTTAGTTTAAAGCCCCCCTTAATTACCTAGTAGCTAGGCTAAATTTCCCTACTAAAGAAAAGGCATTACCTTTAGCTATTAGACTTTCTAGTACTTTACTATAAAAAGTACCTATTTATACTAAAGAAATAGGTATATAAATATATACCTTACTATAGCTAGGTTCTTAATTATAATTATGCCCTTATATTAACTACTACCTATTAATACTACCCTATTAGTATAGCCTTTTAGCTCTATAAAATATATAATATAAAAAGTAACTTTAAAGATAGATTATATAACTTTTTCTAGGTATTTTTATTATATACTAAGTACCTAAGACTAGCCTATAGGATTATCTAAGCTAGATATAGTTTTAAAGAGCTAATATTACTATTATAGCCTTCCTTATAGCTATCTATTAAGATAGCCTTTTAAAATACCTTCTCTATACTTATAGTTACCTCTTTAGTTAAGAGCTTTTATAACTACCTTCTTAGCTAGATTATTACTTTAAAGGTAAAGAGCAACAATAAAGGAAAGACTGCAAAAGACGATAATTTCCAACAGTCTCAATTGCAAACTATGTGCAAACTGCCACAGAGGTTCAATTGAGACAAGGTCTTCGTCATTAGATAGGAAATCAAGTGATCAGTTCAATGGTATTAAATACGAGGACAAAATGTGTAAAATTCAGTCTGAAAAAGCATGAAGAAGCTAAGGTCCTGAGGGAATCCTGTCCCTTTATATCTGTCAACACAGACATCCTTCTGACCCCACCTACATAGGCTAGACCTCTTACCCTAGACTGCTTGCCACAACCGTCACATTACTATAGCTATTCCCCTTAATGTTATTATATATAGCCATTTTTATAGCCTTTTATAGATATTACCTAAGATTATTAAAGCAGCTTTTCTAAAAGCCCTTAATATAGTTAAAAATTAGCTACTTAAAAGCTATACTAAAAAGAAGGGTATTATTACTAAAAAGCTACTTATAGCCTTTTCCCTAATTAGCTTATCTTTTAATCTATAGACCTTCCTAAATAGCTATACTATTCTAAAAGTACTTACTTACTATATTACAGTAAAGGGATTTCTAATCTATAAGGTTATTACTTTCTAAAAGCTTAAAAAAGCCTATTTTAGTAAGAATTAGGCTATTATTATTAATAATATATATAGGTTATTTAAGCTTCCTTTATATAAGCTTAGCTTTTTTACTCTTAATAATATTAAATTAAATACTATATACCTTATAGCCCTTTTTTATAGGTAGTTAAGTTACTTTTTATTATACCTAATTAATAAGTAAGTATAAATTCGTTAGCTTTAGTATTAGGATTATATTATTAATTTTATAGCTAAAGCTTTACTTCTTACCCCCTGGCTTCCTACCTAATTTACTCCTAATTATATAAATAACTATAAGGAGGCATAGTATACCCTAGGGGTAATAAGGAAGCTATATAATACAGTTTAATTTATATAAAAAATATCATAGTGCTATAAGCTTTAGTTATAATATATATATAAAGCCTATAAATTAGGAAATACTATAAGCTTTAATAATATTTCCTTTTATATTTAGCTATAGCCTAACTAGTAAATAAGATAGAATTTAATATTTATTATAATTAACCGTGCTCTTTACCTACAGGCTATTATTAACTAATTCTATATTTATAGCTTTAATAACCCTAAACCTTTTAAAAGGATTCCTAAGAAAGATATTCTATATCTAGATAACTAGGCTTATTTATAGTAAATTACAGGTATTTTATATCCTTTTAAAGAAAAGACTAAGAAGCTTAAAGGTTATAAGGAAGCTATAATCTTATTTATTATATATAGCTATATAAAGCTATATTAGTACCTCTATATATACTATAGCAGTCTTTTTATAGCTATAGCTTTACTAAGCTTCCTAAATCCTTCCTTACTAAATCCCTTACTATTTTATTCTTCTTTAATAGATTAAGCCCTACCTCTATAAGTAATAGCTAGTTAGGCTTATAAGGCTATTACTAATACTATAAATAAGCTATATAGCTATAAAAAGAAAATTACCTTATTACCAGTCTATTAATATAGCTTTAATAACCCTAAACCTTTTAAAAGGATTCCTAAGAAAGATATTCTATATCTAGATAACTAGGCTTATTTATAGTAAATTACAGGTATTTTATATCC